TGTCAGCAGGATCCAGGGGCGGCTGCGGTAGCTGTAAACCACCAGGCCCACCTGGGGAGAGAGCAGGGCTCAGCCCAACCCTTAGCAAAATGGCCCCAGGGCAAGAGGGTAGGGGGCAAGTCAGGGGGTGCACAGCGAGGCTGATGGGGGCAGGAGGCCCCGGCCCCTAGGGAGGCAACCAGGCTAGTACCTGGGTGGCGTCAGGCCCCAGCTGGCCCAGAGCAGACACAGTACTGGCAAGCAAGGCGCGAACGGCTCCAGCACTGAAGGCGCTGTCCTGGGTGCCGTGTACCAGGAAGATGATGTCGCTACGGCCACCCCTGCAAACTGGAGGAGGATGAGGCATAAGGATGTCAGCAGGGCGAGGGAAGGGGAGGTAAACCTCAGCCCTGCCCAGCTGGGCAGATGCCCAGTGGCCTGAAAGTGAAGGAGCCACTGTGCTCAGTTCCTCTGCCTTAAAACAGGCCTGCCCCCTTGTACGTGTCCATCCCAGGAGCTCAGGTGCCCTAGAGAGAAAAGCTAACAGCCTGCCTCCACTCCACAAGCCAGCCAGCTCCCCACCACACCCCTGGCTGAGCTGGACCTGGAGCCTGGAGAAGGCCACATCAGCCAGTGCCTACCTTGGCGCTCGGTGAGGGAGGAGGCCGCACCCACGGCACTACCATACATGGGTCGGATGCTGAAGGTGTACCTGCCTCCCAGCCGCAGCCCAGACACCTGGTGGGAGGTCGCTGACCCAGGCAGAGTTGTTTTCATCTCACCTCCCTCTGACATGAAGGGATACAAGGCACATTATCACAGACACATTTTGAGGCAGATGAGCCCAGCAAGGGCCTTATCCCCTCTCCATACCCTCCTGCAGGACCCCACCACCCTCCGCAGTAGCTAGGAAGATGCGCTGGAACTGGGGACCAGCAGGTATCCAGCTTTGATGGAGATGGGTGCTCTCCTTCCTAGCTTCCAGGCTGAATTCAGACACCATTGCTGGATGCCAGCCCCCAAGGCATATATTTGTGGCAAGGCCTCCAGTCCAGACACTGTCCTAGTGCCCCTCACAAGTGGAGGGACCTGAGCCTCATAAGGGTGGAGCCAGGACCAACCACCAGTGCCATGAGCTAGGCTTGCATAGAGTCTCCACAAGCCTTGTTTTCTCCCAGCCCCAATACCCCATACACCTTCAGCCAGGCCTATCACAGAGTCGTCTTGGGGGACAGAGAAGCCAAGGAGGAGCCAGGTGGGACTTGCTGGGGACCAGTGTGGAAGTGAAGTCCAGGGTTCATCTCCCTACAGGAATCCCCTGCTTCAAACAGCCACAGGGCCTGGCTCTAAGCAGGCCCTGCTATAGCTATGCAGCCTGGAGGCAGCAGTGCTGACAAGCCTCTCTGTACCTGTGGGGCTGTTCCAGGTGAGGATGTAGCCAGTGGCACCAGGCGCAGGAGTCCAGGTTAGCAGTGCAGAATCATCCCGGGTCTCTGCCACATGGAAGTTGGTGACTCGGCCTAAGGCTGTTTAAAAGGGAAGGAGTGGGGGCTGCAGCGGATGCCTTCCCCTGCAGCCAGGATCCAGCCCCAGCCTCGTGCAGAGGCAGGGCAGGAGGAGTCCTGGGACAGCAAGGCCTGCAGCTGCTTTCAGTGCTCCAGGGAGGGAGTAGTTCCCAGGCTCTCCACCAGGTGGCCCCCCTGCTCCACCCACAGCTCACTGCAAGAAGCAAGGGGGTCCCCTAAAGGCCCTGAGCCCAGCAGATTGCCTAAGTGCTGGGGAGAGCAGCTTTTTGCCTCCCTTAGCCTCCCATGGAGGCCATGGGGAACAGCTGGCACAGGAGGGTCCCTGCCCTGTGCTCCATGCAGGGAGGCAAAGGGCTGTCCCTTACCAGTAGTGGCCGTGATGGCCACAGGCTTGCTCTCCTGGCTGCCCACCAAGCTGATGATGCGGATCTCGTAGCGCTTTCCTGCCTGCAGGCCCTCTATGTTGTAGGTATCAAGGCTGGCTGGGAGCACCTGGCTCCTCTCAGGCCCACCTGCCCCATAGGAGAGAAGGGGTGAAGCGGACTGGGCCGGGTGTGCCATGGGTGCTGCAGTGGGGGGGTGTACGCACCATCTGCTGAGCGCCAGCTGAGGCGGTAGCCAGTGCTGCCAGGCACCGGGGTCCAGGAAAGACGGATGCGCTGATCTGAAGGGTCAAAGGCCTGAAAGTTCCCCACGGGCTGGGGCGGAGACACCTCCGCTGCTGGAGAGGCACAGACAGGAGGGTCAAGGGGTTAGGAAGGAGGGAATGCGCCACACAGAGCTCTGGAGCAGAGGCGACTGGTGCCTCCTGAATCTGGGGGGACACCCACAGACACTGCCGGTGCTGTCGGCAGCAGGGCCAGAGCTGGCGAGCATCCACAGATGCCGGCGGTGGGGGCAGAGCTGGCGAGTTCCCACAGATGCCACCAGCAGCAGGGTCAGAGCTGGTGAACATCTGCAGACACTGCCGGAAGCGTCAGCAGCAGGGGCAGAGCTGGCAAGCATCTGCAGATGCCACCAGCAGTGTCAGCGGCAGGGACGGTCCTGTCCTGTCAGGGAGGACACATTCTCCCCGTGCCACCCTATGTGTCACCTATGCCCAGGAAGGTAGATGGGCCGGGAAGTCTCAAGGCAGGACCCCTCACGTCCCTCCCCAGGCTCAGAGGCACCTGCAGGGCACAGAGCTATCACAGGCCAGCAAGCAACTCTCAAGGCTGCTCGTAGGGACTGACTGGGTGCCTGCCCCATGATGGACTCTGCCTCTCCCAGAACCACCCATCTGCTCAGGCCACAGACCCCAGTGCACTGAACCACTCCTGCCCATGGCCCACGTGGAGGCTGCCACCCTGAGACCACAGGACATGTCTTCCCCCCCGCAGGGCTCCTCACGGCACAAGGCTGGAACCTACGCGTGGTAACAGTGATGGAGACAGGGTTACTCTCACGGTTGCCGATCAGTGCTGTGACCTTCACGATGTAGGTGACGCCACCCTCCAGGTTCAGGATGTCAAAGGAGCTGGTGTTGCCAGGAACCACCCTGCTGCTCTCAGGGCCCCCTGCAAAGCAGCAGGGGGTTAACTCAGCTCCCCAAGGGCAGTAAAGGATTGGTGCCACAAGGGAGCACTTATGCCCAGCACCAAGGTTTGTGACTATCACAGGGCCCAAAGGCTGGAGAGAAAGTCCACTGTGCATCAACCAGGCATGAAATGGGGCCATGGGTCCCTGCAGGCCTACGCTGGCCTGCAGCTCATGAAGCTGGGCTGAGATTTGGGGTGCTGGAATGCGTAGGCAGCATGGCCTTGTACTTTACCATCCTGCCGGCTCCACACCACCCGGTAGGCCGTGGCCCCGGACACCCCGGCCCAGGCGACTCGGATAATGTTGCTCCTGGGCGCAAAGACCCTGAGGCCGGAGACCATCCCCACCTCCTCCAGAGCTGTGGGAGAAGGACAGCAGGATGCTGGGGTCACTTGGGATCACAGCTGCAGAGCCAGTCCCGGGGGCAGGGGCAGGAACAGGGACAGGGGCCCACAGGCCAGACCAGACCTCACCTGTTCTAGCAACAATAGTGACGGGGCTGCCCTCCCTGCTGCCCACCAGGGCTGAGACCCCTATGATGTAGTCGGTCTTGGCCTGGAGCCCTTCAATGGTGAAGGACGTCGTGTCGGGTGACAGCACCCGAGAGATCTCCTGTCCTGTGGGGAGAAAAGGACAAAGAGCAGTGAGTGGCTTTCCTGGGCAAGGCACATACTGGAAGGGCCCAGGGCTGTGCTCCAGAGCTGTGAGGCTGGGGCCACCAGAGCAGTGACCTCCTCAGCTCAGAGCAGGACTCTTGTCTGCATTTCATGGCCTGGCCCAGTCAGTAGCTGCCAGCTGGATGTGACTCAATGAAACGGGAGTGGCTGGGACACAGGACTCCAGACCAGGCTCTTCTCTGGGAGCAGTGGGATGGAGCATCCTCCCGCAGCACCTCACGGGGCAGACACTCAGGCCAGGAGCACAAAAGGGCAAAGCAAAAACCTCCCCACTCACCCCTCCAGGAACCTCTGGCAGCAGGCTCTGCCCTGCCTCAATGGGTCTGGCCCAGGAGAAAGCTGCAACATGCCCTGGATCCACAGTCCAGTAAGCGAAGGGAGCAAACAGAGCCCAGCCCCCTGCACTAACCATTATGCCATGCTGCAAGGTACGTGCCCACATGGGTCATCTAATAGGGACAGCCCCCAGAGCCTGCAGCCAGTCTCAGCACTGGACAGCCTTACTCCACCTGCCCAGCTGAGGCCGCGTGCACTCCTGACACCTACCATCAGCCGATCGCCATGTCAGCTTGTAACTTGTAGCCCCAGGGAGCCTTTGCCATATGACCCGCAGCTGGTTAGAGCCAACCTCTGCCACCTGCAGGTTGGTGATGCTGCCCACTGGTGATGAGTCTGGGGAGAGAGCAAACAGGTGGGGGTGGGGGGGCATGGAAGATCATCCTGGAGCCAGACACCTCTGCCCTGCCCATCCTTCACACCCAGGGGCTGGCCCAGGAGTCCAATAGCCCTGCCACAGAGAGCCCCAGAGCAGAGGAGCTCTCCCAGTCCTGAAGCCCAGAGCCCAAGCTCCTCTCTGGAGTTTCTTCAGCACCTAGTGCCCAGATGCACAGTCAACTCTACTGAACAGTGCCTGGGAAGGGACAGGTGCCTGGCAAGGACAAACTGACCACTGACCCCTCCTCCACCCCAGGCCGAGTCCTTGGGAGCTTGGGAGGGGATCCCCATTGCTTGCAGACAATGGGCACGCTCAGTCCAGCCTGGGCCTCCTGGCACTTAGCTCCCATACCCAGACGGATGCTGAGGGAGGCAGCACTGCCCTCCTGGCTACCGGCCAGGGCTGACACGCGCACCACGTAGACAACACCCTCCTTCAAGTCGTCGAGGTCCAATGTGGTCTGGCTGCCTGGGATCCGCCTCATCCTCTCAGTGCCATCTTCAGGGGAGCAGGAAAGAAAGGGAAATCTCAGGGCTCACTCAGGCACTGGTATGAAGCATCTGCCCCCAAGATGCAGAGGTATCCTGGCTGCCACCCTCATGGCTGTCTGCCTGTGACACCATGCCATGCTGACTCCAGATGGGCCTCAGCTTTTGGGATGGCACAGTCTCAGGAGAGGGGCCTACTGCCCCCACTACACACATGCCCAGTCCAAGGGGTAGGGTGAACATGGTTCTTCTGGGGCCTGGTCTACTCCAAAGGCTCAGGGGCCCCTGAGATCACCCAAACAGTGACTATATAACCCAGCAGTGGCCAGCTGTGCCAGGGGGGCTCAGCCTAATGGCACTCTGGACTCTGGCAAAGCCTAGGAGAGTAGGACAGGGACCGCAGCTGCCAAGTTAGAGGAGTCCAGCTCAATTCCCAGCAGTCCCGAGGGAACCTTTTGAATATGAGCCCAGTGCACCCAACAGGGCAGTGCCTGGAAACTCCAGCCCTGGCTAAGGGGAAATGTGCAGCTTCCCTGAGCAGGGTGTTGGCTCTGGGACCAGTGATGTGGGCTTTGCTGCTTATGTTATAAGCTAGGCCAGTGCTTCCCACCCAAACCTCCAGTCCTGAATTTAGCTGCATCAGGCACAGAATCTCCAAGCTCCTCCTCAGAAGTCCCCAGCTGCAGGGCTAGTACTAGCTGACTCCTCCCCAGCACCTCTCCCCCATGGCACCCATCCGCAGAACTAGTGCCAGCTGTTGACTGCCCTCCACCCCCCCAGCACTGGAACACTTATCCACAGGGCACTAGCTGCCTGCTCCTCAGCACAGAACATTAAACCGCAGGGCTGGAGCATGCTGGCTTTGCCCCAGTCCCAAACCCCACTGGCTCTGGAGCCAACACCAGCTACATGTACTTGCAGAGGCAGCAGAGTGGCCTGATGCATAGTGGCAGGGCAGCTGCTCTGATCACTTGCTAGGGCATAGAAATACCAATGCAAGGAGTATCCCTACCATTCACTGCAGCTGGCCCCTATGGAGTCTCTCTAAGGACCCCATCCCATAGCAGGGCATGATCTCCAGGGCTCTGCCCAGTGCTAGACCCCCAGGCCTCAAGGCTAAGCCTCAGGGGACAGAGGAGAGGCCTGCGGTGCTGAGGGAGGAGTAAGCTCTGGGCCCAATGGCAGCTCCAATTCTCCCTGTTCCTGTGAGGCAGACTCACCCTGGGAGTTGCGCACCACGATCTTGTACTCAGTGGCACCTGGGACCCCCAGCCAGGCCAGCCGGACCCTTCTCCCCACCGTCTCCAGGATCCGCAGGTTGGACACACTGCCCACCAGAGACCGATCTGCAGCAGAACAGGACAATGTGAGGACCATGGCTCAGAGGCAGGGAAAGGCAGAGGCTGGGGCACAGCATGGCTCTACGTGGAGAGCATGGAGCCCCGCAGGTCTTCAGCATCATCAGAGCAGCACCAGCAGGGACTCAAGCTCTCATCCTCACCAGACCCAGGGGGTTCAGGCACCAGTACAGCTACATGCTGGGGTGGGGGTTGGAAGGCTGTACATAAAGCCCAGCAAAAGTGGGCAATGTTGCCAGCCCCATGCTGTTAGGGAAGGGAAAGCTAGGTGAGGTCTTGTGTAGGAGCTTGTCCCTAGTGGCCACCCCAAACAGGAATGTGCGTTTGTACGTGTGTGTGAGGGCTGAACATGTCCAGGCTCTGGGCTTCCCCACCAAGTGCACAGGTTGCAGCCAGGGACTTACTCACCTATCTCAGAAGTGGTTACATCTGTAGCCACCTCCATCGTGTCAAACAGTGTGTACAGGGTGATGTGGTACTCTGTTTCAGGCTGAAGGCCTTTGAGCTCGTAGGTGTTGACGCTGGGGGGCAGAGACAAAACCTGGGGGGCCTCCACTCCTGAGAACCACAACAGGGGATGGTCACTGTCCGTTTCCCAGCACCCACCCCGCAGTCCTCCCTGCTGGAACCCTGCTCAGCGGCCTGCTCTTCAGAGGTACAGCCCTAGCCCTGGCTGACACCAATTCGCAGGGCCTGTGAGAGTCACCCTACCACCACCATACTCATAACGGGCCCTGCTCACCTGCTACTCTTTTCCACTCCAGCCGGTACCCACGTGCAGGACGGATGATGTTCCAGACCAACTGGATGGACGTTGGGCCCAGGAAAGTGGCTCGCAAGGTCTGGCTTATTTCTACAAGACAGACAGACAGTCAGGGTGAGCTCAGCACCAAAGAAGGGCCTTGCCAGAGCCTTGTGCTCCCCTGCCTATGCTTCCAAGTCCATCTTTAGACAGGGGCCTTTGGCATCCCAACCACCTCTGCAGCAGACAGCACCAGGTCCCAGAAGCTGGATCAGACATCACCTCAGTCTCCTCAAGGGATCCCCTCCTTCCCCCCTGAACAGCATGGGTGGAAGGGAAAGTCTGTTGCAGCTTTACCCAAGGATGCAGTCTACAGGACTGGTAACTTGGTGGCTGGACAGGCTGAGAAACACTGATGCAGTGAAAACATGGGGAGAAGAGGAAGGAAAAGAGCAAAGTAGGGGCCTCAGCAGGGCAGGAGCAGCATACACTGTCTGCCCATCACAAGCAGGTTGGAAAGATGCAGAGCAGACCTGTTCCTCCTGGAAGGGGATGGAAATGTCAAAAGGCCCGTCTGACATCCTGGAAACAGCAGCCCTTGCTTTTTGGTTCAAAGCAACTTCTCAGGTTGAAATCTGAGTTCACAGCTTCATCCCCTCCCTGGTCTGTGGGGATACCTTCTCCTCCCTCCCCTGGTCACAGCTAAGACCCCTTAGAGAGCATATGAGGCCCCAGGCTGGCACAGGGTGACAGCAGGCAGTGCCATCCCCACCCCTTCACATCACTCTACACAAGGGGAGATGCAAGCCAAGGCTGAGGCCACCCACACTGCCGTTGCCTTGTGCAGCCTGCTGTTTGCTGTTCCTGCTTCTTACCTTCATCACGCACTCAGAGCATCAGCTGCCTGAGGCAGGAATGTTCTGATCATTATATGCGTGTGCATGTGCACGTGTGCCTACACCTCTAGGTATGGGCTTATACTACGTCTGCTTTGTACGGGACCAAAATCAGGGCCTCTGAGTGCTCCCAAAGCACAGAGAATGCTATTATCCCATCAAGTCTCCAGCCTCTTGGCACTGACCCAGGTCCCCACCCACCCAGGCTGAGGAGACTTCTCCCATTCTAGGCACCCACCTGTTCTCCCTGTCACGGATGCTTTGGGTCCTTCACTCTGCCCATAGAGTGGCGAGACGTGCACCAGGTAATCTGTGCTGCTCTGCAGGCCTGTCAGCAGGTAGGAATTCTTGCTGCTGTCCACATCCACTTTCCGAACATCCTGGCCTAGGGAAGTCCAGAGCAGACCAGATTAGGGGCCAGTTCAGGCCCTCTCCCAAAGGAGCAGTTCCCAGCGACATAGGGGTTTCCGAGCCAGGTCCCATTGACAGCCCTTCCCGTGAGACCAGCGCGGCCAACCCCATCTCCCTACAACCAGCGCACACCAGATCAGGTAAAGGCTGGACTCATGCTCTGGCTAACAAATATCACCAAATGTCAAGGCAATCCCCTGCCATGTGCAAAGCTGGCTATGCCAGTAATAAAAAAAAAACTGCGTATGGCTTAAAGAAATCCATGGCACGATTGGGTAAGATGTTCCCCCTTCCCCAGGCCCACTGGCTGGCTCTAAGCATGTAGGGCCCAGTCCTGTCCTCTCTTTGCCTGCTGGACCTCTACAGGGCTCCAAGTTCCCAGAGGTCATGGGCTCAGGCCTTTAATCTGCAGACTAGATAGCTGGGCCTTTGGGGAGGATCTTAGTGCTGGGTTCTGTGCAGCTCACATGGCTTGTCATGTGGGCAACCAGTGAAACTGCTCCCACCCAGCTGCCTCCATCTCCCTCTCCAACATGTTCCTCCTCTTCCTTGGGTGGCAGGAGGCTCTGATCTCCACAACCCAGCAGCAAGTGCTTCACCCAAACCTCTGCTTCAGGGAAAAGGGTGAAAGCCCCATCAAGCATCAAGACAAGGCTGTCCCATCAGGGCTGGGAAGGGAAGAGAGGCCTCTGCCCCCCACAGTGCCCATACTTCAGAGCTACCCTTTGGCTCAGTGTGCTCAGCCCTAAAAGCCCACATCTGCCAGTCACTCTTTGCCCTTGCTTCCCAGCACTGGGGGCTGGGCAGCCCTACCTGAAAGAGTGCTCCAGGAGACCCGGTATCCAGTAGCTCCCCTCACGCCTCGCCAGACCACCAGCATGCGATCCCAAGAGATGCTCTGAACTGTCAACTCTGTCACCCCTTCCATTCGCACTGTGGGGGAAAGCAACATGGCACAAAATGCAAGGCCTAGAAAAAGCAGCTTCTACACAACCCAGAAGATGACCAAAAGGGCCCACTCAGCCCAGACAGGACACACAGGGACAGCAGCCCACACCTGACTCCTACAGACAGCAGAAATCAGAATTCTGCAACCCACCACAACCTCCCCGCCACCAAAAAAGTACACACAGAGAGATTATACATGACCATCAGTAACAGAGCTGTTTGAAATGCAAGAGCAGCCATTAATCTATCATCTACTATAGTGGATTAATCATGAACTGACAGTGTTATATATTTGCCAGTTAATACAGTTAATTCCTCTCCAGAAACACCAACAAGGTGCTTTACCAAAAGATTCCAGGTTCAGGAGCTAAAAGGAATATCCTTGTCTACTGAAAGCATCACCCACAGAGACCTATTCAGAATCCCAAATCTATGCAATACATTTTCTTTAAAAAAAAATACTCAGGTCAGAATTAAGGGTGTTTTGTTGTAATGGAAAATATGTATTTTTTTGTACTTGACATTACGCAGCTGGCTGGAGGGGAGGAAAAAAAACAGGAGAATTATTTGGCGAATTTCAACAGAGTTCAGACCCAAAGCTGATTCTGTGATGCAGGTTTCAAGAGACTTATTTTCCCCATTTCTCTGAAATTTTTATCAGAATAACAGAATTTTTTTGCTCCGTGAAAACCAAGTTTTCTCCCTGAAAACCAACTTGCTGTATACACATAAGGTTCAGGGAGGAGTTTGAAAAAGCTTTTAAAGACAACTTCGGAACATTTCACGAGAGAGGGAAAAACTTTAATAAAAAACATTTTTATGTTTTTTGAACCAGGGGTAATTTTTACAGTTCACTGTCTGAAAGGAAACATTCTGTGTAAAAAATAATTCTAACCAGTTCTGACATGAAGGAGTTTGTTCTTGACCAGACTGGGGATGCCCCTCACTTCCCAATCCTCTGCTGGAGCTCTGCATAGGGCGTGGTGTTTGGAACCCCTGCTCACTGTGTCTGCCAGGGACTGACTCATGTGAGTACTTCAGTGCCATGGGAGAGCAGGCAGGAGGAAGGGGCACAGGATGCCAGGATGTAATCCTTGGGGTCTCCCTTTCAGGGGCACAGTGGGGAACTCTTATCAGCAGGAGCCAGGCACTCACCCCAGGATGACAGCCCCCTCTGCACCCATCCCCCACAGGAGCTGGGTGAGGGAGTTGTTCCTTTAGCTGAGCAGACCAGACCCACAAGCATGGCCCCAGACGCTGGGAGTCCTACCCCTGGTGCTGCACAGATGGAATAGGATGACGAGCACCATTTGTGCAAAGCCATTAGCCCATGTCTAGAAAACCACGCACCACCTTCTGTCCCACCTGCCAGGACACCTCTGGAGACAGTCTAGAGCAGCTGAAGCAGGCACCAGGCTCACAGAGGCCCCTATGCTCTGGGCAGCCTGCCCCAGAGCACCCTTTGGATGGGAGAGTTGTCTGCTGAGGCCCCCAACTGCTGGCTGCCCCCTACAGATAGTACTTACAGGTCCTGGCGTTGGCCACAGCTGGAGCTGCCGTATGCTGCAAGTAGCGGGGGTAGAGGGTGACCACGTAGTCAGTATTGGGACGCAGGTTGCTGAGTACAGCAGACAAAGCGTTGGCCCCCAGGCTCATCTCCTCCACCTGAGCCTCACCTGGGAGGGAAGCAGACAGCGATGGGTGAGAAGTGCCCAGTGTCTAGGGGAAACGTCCCCAGTCTGAGGGCACCATTCACTGCAAGGTAATGGGACCTGGACAGCCCTGCCGACCTGATGGGGAGCCCTGGGTACCTCCGAGCTGGTGTGACCCCATGTGAGCCTGGAGTACAAGCACACATATGATGGGTTCCATAGCTTGGGGTTACACATGTGTTAGCACAGTCAGCGTAAGGAGCCAAGCAGCCATTGCCTGTCCCGGGCTGGGTCAAGGGAGCAAGGGGCCCAGCACCCCCTCTACAGCTACTGTGAGAAGTGAGTGACCTCAAGGAAGGGACTCCCCGGAGGTGGTGCTAGGCCAGTGCCTTCAGCCTGGTACTGGGTGCAGGCAGGGTGCACAGCTGGTTTTGCTGAGCTAAGCAGCATGGCAGTGCCCACGGGGCCTGAGTTCTGGGCTGGGAGATGCACTGCCAGGGCAGCTGGGCGTAGCCGCATGCAGGGCAAGCTGCCAGGGCCACATGCAGTGCACTGGCTGCAGGCTTGGGAAGGGCAGCTCCAGGTGCAGTTCCTTGCCCATAGCAGCACCAGGGAGAACGGGTGGGTGCAACAAGCAGGGTTCTTACTGCCCCACACAACACCACGCGCATGCACTGGGCCCTGTCTGTGCACCAGCACAGGTGCTGTGGCCTCTGCAGACCTGCCCTCCCCCACACTGTATATATACACCGAACTCCTCCTACACACCCCCAACCATCCACCACAACACGTGCTGCAGCCCTGCGTTCACACAGTGAACCTCCCACCCACACCTCACCTAGACCCCCATTATGCGTGCTGAGAATCTCCCCTGTACTCCCAACCACAGTCCTGTGCACCCTCACAGCATCACACATCTGCCCTCCAGCAGGCTCTAGTCCTCCTTCAGAGCCCCTTGGCAAACACAATCAGAGCCCAAAGCACCCTCTGCCTCCTGCCCCAGGGCACAAGCACCTCCATGGGGAGGATGTCTTGTTGGAGCAATACTGGTATGTATGTCTGATTCATGGACCATGTAATGGGCTCCATGTTCGCCCATCTAGATATCCACGTGTCTGTCTGCTTCCTGGTACAACCAGTGAAGTAGCTGGACAAAGGCAGGGTAGGGAGAAGGAGGTGCAGAGACCATGCTAGGTGCTTTTCCTCCAGCTCTCCGACCTGGCTGAGTCCTAGGGCTGTGAAGAAAGGCCTGCCCAGGCACAGGCTTCCCACCCTGCTGGAACAGATCCAGGCTCCACGCCCTTCATAGGAGGGAGTCAGTCTGGAGCACGGCTGGGAGAGAACACAGCTCCAGGGATCACAAAGCCCCAGAAGAGGTGGAACCCATTTGGCCTGGTCTCCTCCCCTCTGCCCTCACCTCGAGCGCCATAGGTGAGCCTGTAGCCCTGCAAGGAACCCAGGCCAGTTTCCCAAGCCAGACGGAGGAAAGAGGGTCCAGCTTCCACCACTCGGAAATTCACCACTCCAGGGAGGGGCTCTGAAAGAGAATCACACAGGCCTGTTAGCTCAGCCCATGCTCCTGCCCCCTGAAGTCAAGGGGCACCGAATCCCATGAGGAAAGGAAGCTTAGCCTCACACCCACAAGCCTCTCTGCCCACCATGAGGCATGGAGCCATCCAACAACAAGGAGAAGATAGGTTGTGGGTTGTGGCAAAGTGACTCCCCCTTTCTAGTCAGGAGCCAAATGTCAGGCCCAACTGGGCAGTACCCTTTGAGTTGGAGCAGAAATGACAAGACATCCTGAGCACCACCAAACCCACCCATGTCAAACCCATCCTGTCTTGACTGGTGGCCAGAAAAGCCAGACCCTGCCCTGGGAGAAGGGGGCTCATCCCCAAACAACAGTCAACCATACAACCAGAAAGCCCATGTGCACTTCAAGGCCCAAGCTTCCCTTCAAGTGGAGAGGGCTCATCCACCAGGTGTCCCCCAGATGTGGAAATTGTCACAGAGCCTGGATCCCACGCCCGGGGGGTGGGGGGCTGGACATACACACCCTCCCTCTGATTGAGTGGGTTACTCACGGGTGCGTCCTCTGCCGGAGACCGATTCACCGATACTATTAGCATACTGGGCGATGATGGTGACTAGGTACTCTGTCCCTGGCCTCAGCCCACGCAACACAACGCTCGTCTCCTTGGGGGCAACGTTGATCTGTCCAACGGCAGTAGAAATAGTTACAGTGGGATCCGTGGCAGTGCACAGCCTCAGGACTAAGAGAGAATCCACTACCCCATGCTTCACATGAGGAGCACTCTCACACAGAGCATGGTCAGAGCTGGGGCATCAGCAGCCCCCATCCTCCGGCCACCTGCCCTCATTCTTACGGCTGCTGTTAGTTCCATGAGAGGGCTTGAAAACCAGTGGAGACAGCAGCTGGGAAAGGGACTGGTTCCTGTCAGAACAAGAGCTCTCCCTTGCCCCAGGGGGCATGACACCAGGTGATGGGCTTAAGCTGCAGCAAAGCAGATTTAGCTCAAACCTGACGAAGAAACACCCTAGGTGTCCAAGCAACTGGACAGAGAGACAAGCTGCCCAGGGAAGCTGTACAGTCTCCTGTGTTGGAGGTTTTCAAGATGTTGGCATTTAGCGTAAGAGCAGCACATTCTGCCTTGGAGCAGGGGCTGGAGCAGAGAACGCTTGGGATCCTTCTCAGCCCTAAGATCCCAGCATTTCCAAGGCTTCTAATTGCAGCTGCTTCCCCATCACTGCCTAGTGCAGATCAAGGAAACACGCTGAGTGAGAAGACTGGCAGGTCCAGGGACCATGGTTAGGCAGTTACCTAGGTACAGGTGAGTTACGGAGTACAGAACAGGGCAGAAAGACACCAAGTCCTTATGCCATTTACCCATTTCACAGCAATGCAGAGAGCCAGGGTTTGCTCAGCAAAGGGCTGTGACCCGTGTTAGGTAGCTTGGTGGACTGTGAGTTCACCAGGTGCATGAAAGTGGAGTGCGCTGTCCCCCTGCACAATGGCACCCAGCCTGCTCACGGAAATCTAGCAGATGGTGCTGCCTGCTGGATCCAGCCCACGTGAGAGTGGTCTCTGAAGGGATTTCACAGCATACACTCCCTTAAGGGGCCGAGTGAAACCACCACCCCCGCAAAAGGCTGTGAGCCCCAGCTCTAGCCATCAGGCAAGCTCCTCTCCCATAAAGTGCCTTGTCAGTGTGCAGCTCACGCCAGCAAAACCCCCTTCTCAGAGGGCAGTGACCAACTTCTCAAGGGACCCAATCACCCACAGCCTCTTGGCTCAAGCTAGCTGCCAAGTGGCTGATCCTCGCAGGGAGAGGATGTACTCACCTCCTTCATCTCTGCCATGATCTGCTGCCCCAAGCTAGTGAGCGGCAGATAGTGGATTCTGTATCCCGTGACAGGACCGCCTGCTGCAGCCCAGCGGATCTTTAGCAGGTCAGTGCCCTGCTCAATGAAGACCAGGTCAGCCGGGCCACTGTACACCTGCTGGCCTTAGGGGAAGGAGAGCAGAGTCAGGATCCCAGGGTGCAGGGTGGGAACACCAGCCTTCTGCCACCCCATGCAGGGAACCCCTGTGGAGGTCAGCA